AGGGAGATGCTCCAATCCCTCCATCATCTCTGTTGCCCTATGCTGGACTCTCTCCAGCAGTTCCCTGTCTCTCTTGAACTGGGGAGCCCAGAACTGGACACAGGATTCCAGTTGTGGCCTCCCCAGTGCAGAGCAGAGGGGGAGAATGACCTCCCTCCACCCACTGGCCACACTCTGCCCTACACAGCCCAGGATCCCATTGGCCTCTTGGCCACAAGGGCACGTTGCTGGCTCATGGAAAGCTTCCTATGTGCTAGGACTCCCAGATCCTCAGTAGTGCCTTCCAGAAGATCCACCCCCAACCTATATTGGTGCCTGCGGTTCTTCCTCCCCAGGTGCAGGACCCTACACTTGCCCGTGTTGAACCTCATGAGGTTCCTCTCTGCCCAGTTCTCCAGCCCTGGGGGACACCCCTGGTCACAGGCCTCCAACTTGACCCTGCTCCATTAACGACACCCCTGTGAGTTCTGTCACACAGCCAGGACTCAACCCACCTCGCTGTCCCCTCACCTAGCCCATGGTGTCCATTGAGTGCCTGTCCCACACCGGGCACCCATGGGTGCCACCAGCAATTCCTCCCTGGGCTGAGGGTATTTGTGAAGATAAAAGCTTTAGGGCACATTTCACCCCTGAAGGTTTGATCATGAAAAATAATAATTGAAAAGTTCCAGGCAGCTACTGGGGGTTTTTCTGCACTTTATTGCTCCTGGTGAGTCCCAAATCCTCACCCTCTGACCAGGATCTGGTGGCCCCACTTGGTGAGAAAGGAGGAAAAGCTGAACTGGGGGGTGCTGGGGGGGAAGGAGTGTTTGGGGGGGCTCTCGGTGCTGGGGGGGTCTGTTTTCAGGAGGCTGTGAACTTCCCACTGGTGGCAACGCAGGAGCGTCCTGAGCATGAACTGCCGATGTGACACTGAAGAACCCAACTGATTTGGCAGAAGAGTCTCACGAGGTGGCAGTGCTGGATCAGAAACACCTTCTGCTGTGTCACGGGGGGGGGGGCACCATCCGGGTAGAAATGAGTCAAAGCTGGGGGGCAGGATCATTAATGGCCCTGCCCTTGGTTCTCCATGGCCAGGAGCACTTCGTTAGTGGAATGAGAGGCTGAGGGACCTGGGGCTTTTTAGTCTGGAGAAGAGAAGGCTGAGGGGGGATCTGATCAACACCTATAAATACTTCAAGGGTGGGTGTCAGGAGGATGGGGCTGGTCTTTTTCCAGTGGTGCCCAGGGACAGGACAAGAGGGTATGGGCACAGATTTTAACATAAGGAGTTCCACCTAAAGATGAGGAGGAACTTCTTGACTTTGAGGGTGGCAGAGCCCTGGCAGAGGCTGCCCAGAGAGGTGGTGGAGTCTCCTTCTCTGGAGACATTCAAACCCCCCTGGACACGTTCCTGTGAGACCTGCTCTGGCAGGGGGTTGGACTGGGTGGTCTCCAGAGGTCCCTTCCCACCCCAAATCCTCCTGTGAGGGTGGTTTCCTGCTGCCGCCCTGCAGGGAGCCCCGTGCTTGGTTCTCAGCCCCCATATCGAGCTCTCCCAGAGCATCCCCTGTTTATTCTCTTCAACCACCCTCACTCACTGGTTAATTCAGCGCCTTTGAGAAAACATCTCCTCTCCGTGATGCAGGCCCGAGGGGTGATCCCAGCTCAGGGAGGGGGTGATCCTGGGACAAGGAGGGGGTGATCCCGGGCCAGGGAGGGGGGTGATGGTGGCCCAAGGAAGGGGTGATGCTGGCCAAGGGAAGGGGGTGATGCTGGGCCAGGGAGAGGATGATGCCTCCCCAGAGAGGGGGTGATGCCGGCCCAAGGTGAGGGTGATGCCAACCCAAGGAGGGGGTGACCCCAGCTGAAGGAGGGGATGATGCCAGCCCGAGGGGTGATCCCAGCTCAGGGAGGGGATGATGCCAGCCCAGGGAGGGGATGATCCCAGCTGACGGAGGGGGTAACGCCAGCTCAGGGAAGGGGTGATCCTGGGCAAGGGAAGTGGGGTGATGCTGGGTCAGGGAGAGGATGAGGCCAGCCCAGAGAGGGGATGATCCCGGGCCAGGGACGGGTGATCCCAGCCCGAGGGGTGATCCCAGCTCAGGGAGGGGGTGATGCTGAGCCAAGGAGGGGTGATCCTGGGCCAGGGAGTGGGTGATGCCAGCCCAAGGTGAGGGTGATGCCAACCCAAGGAGGGGGTGATCCCAGCTCAGGAAGGGGGTGATCCCGGGCCAGGGAGGAGGTGATCCTGGCCCAAGGAGGGGGTGATCCCAGCTGAAGGAGGGGATGATGCCAGCCCAGGGAGGGGTGATCCCGGCCGTTCCCCGCACCCCGTCCCCGGGAGCCGCTGCATGACCTGGAAGGAACCTCCCTCCGCGGGAATAAACTTCCTGGGTTGCGGGGGCGGAAGAGAAGCGGCCGCGGGAGCGATGGGGCTGAGCCCCCGCGGGGACAGACGGTAACGGAGCTGTTTTGGGGGGGGGGGTGTGGATGTTGGGGAGGAACAGTTGAAAAATAACTTGTTTTGGAAAGATGAACTCCAGCGTGGCGACTGCACCGAGCTGCTTGGTAGGAGTTTAATCGTGACCCTTCCTTGGCAGGAACAAGAGTACAGCTGTGTGGTCAAAATGCCTTCTGCTGAGTTCGCCCGCATCTGCAGGGACCTCAGCCACATCGGCGACGCCGTCGTCATCTCCTGCGCCAAGGACGGCGTCAAATTCTCTGCTAATGGAGAGCTGGGAAATGGGAACATCAAGCTCTCACAGACCAGCAACGTGGACAAAGAGGAGGAAGCTGTAAGTTGAGGCTTCGTGATTCCTTTTGGGGCTTCAGTGTTGAGGTTTCTACTGCTGTGACTTAATTCTGGTTTATTGGGGATTGAAGTTGGGGGGTTAAATCCTGTATTTCTCTGATTTATAACTTAAA